ATTCAGGCTCTGGAATAGGGAGGTGGTACTATAATGCCCTTACGTTGACAATTCAACGTTAACACAACGTCACACAGCATCAACTTTTCTACGTTGAGCTGTGTTTCATTTCAACATTGTAGCAACATCGTGGCAACATGTTACGATGAAAAGACAACCTTTTCTCAACATTAAGGCAACATTGCCATCAACCTTTTTTCAACGTTGACACAGCGTTGTTGCGCCGAATGGGAGTGGTATTAACCTTAGCATGGGTTAGGACTAGGTCTATGAAATCAGCCCCCCCTCCGCCCCACCCGGAAATGTACCCCCAAGGCATATACCTCCGAAGTTGAACTTTTGAAATCAGATTTTCTCTGGAGTCAGCAAAACAGCTATTTGAGTTCTTCAAGTTTCGTTGAAGGAAAGGTGTGTATGAGAATGGCATCGGCCTAAGCGTCCGTCTGTGGGTTAAGCCTAGGCTTCTAAAGTCAGCCCCCCCCCCCCCCCAAAATGCGCCTCCAGGTCATATACCCCCGAAGTCTGAATTTTTCTGGAGTCAGCAATATAATAACTATTCGTGTACCGAATTTCACCCTCTCATCATTTCAAGAACATGGTTAGAATTAGCGTCAGTATGTCAGTCACGATCGTCTATATATATTAGATATTTGATGCTCGCTGCATTTTTCCCAAAATTGATAGGTGTCGTAAAAAGAAAGATTAAAAAGATTCGTAACTTCTATAAATGGTGCAGTTGTAGAGAAGGCAAGAGAATACCTCATAATATAAAAATTAAAAACTCCAGCCATGTAGAACGTAGAACGAAACCAAATGGAATTGCAGGAAAATAGAAGGCCTCTTGTATGGAGATTAGAGGTTTTCTTTTCAAATCAGCCGGGCCTTCTAGATAGAAGTCTTCTGTTTGAATAAACCAAAAAGCCGAATAGGTGGGTTATCTCATCAATAGATTGAGGTGTCTTATTTCCCTGTGCAAGGTATATCTACAAGGTCTTATGGTTGATTGTTCAAAGAATAAATTGTTAAATGCCATTATAGCTCATGAAAAACAACATTTATCCAAAATTACCGTTTTTCAGAAGTTTCCCAATGTGAGTATTAAAAAATATCAGCATCTTCCATAGATCTACTAAGTTTAAATAAGCTCAGAAAATTGGCTTTCATGCAAGTATTTAATGGAATTACACGATTTCAGAATAATGAAAAACAATTCTAAGCTGGCTGCTGAGGAATTTTTTTTTAATGAACTAAAAGGTACTAAAAACGTTCAGTTCTTCACTAACGGCACAAAAGCGTTGGTGCCTCAAATAGGCCAACTAAAGTTTAAACGCTTTGAAAAACTGCCCTCCTCCACAATTGTAGATACTGCCGCCACTGACGAGCTCAACCTCATTTGTTCTGGTGCCGTTGGGGGATTCCATCAGATAGCCATAAGGTGCAAGATTTCTCATGGGTGCCAAACGTGTTTCCCGTCGAATTGACCCCGAAATGACTTGGGCAGGATTGACGCCTCAGTTCTCCGCAATGATCGATCCAATCCCACTTTTCAGTTTCTGCAATGAGAAAGGCGTCAAACTTGATATAGGAAAGCAATGCTTTTTTAGAATTTAAATGTTTATGCTTCTCTGATGAGAAGAGAAATACCTCGTTTGTGGTGTTTCCTTGTTGATAATAGAGGCAGACTGTGCTAAGCAAAACGTTTGACGCCATGAATGAAAAGCGCAGACATTGATGCTGTTCAACCCGGGAAGGTGAACAAAGGTCTTCTGGGAACTCGTCTCTGATCAATAGAAACTTCTTCCGTATGGAGGGAAAGAAATCTTGCTGAAGACCAGGGTCCTGGCTCAAATCCAGAAGTTCGGACCGGTTCACACTGATGAAAAAGACGGCAAAAGCCTCCCGAGGAATCTCCACGTTTCTTCCGTCGAAATCGCGGGGTTCAGAGCGCAATCATCGTGGAGGTCTCTCACGATCACCTCCTTCAGTACCCTCCGCAAGAAACACCAACTAGAGCAACCTCAAAGAATCTGGTGAATTCTCGAGAATTCCCCGGCCTTCTCCCCTCTTTCGGAAAATTCTTGGGATTCATATTCAATTTCAATCTGCATTTTGAAGTCGATGAAGGGAATTTAAACTCCGTTTCCTTTTAATATTTCGTGAAATGAATAAATTATTAAATTCCCTATTCCTTTATAGCATTCTGTTTCAATTCTCGTTTTCCATTAAACAATAGGGCTTAGAAATTCATACGATCCTCCTCGCTAGTCCAGATTGACGGTAAAGCGTATTTTTAATGCAAATCTTGGGTCTGCAGACAACATCTTCAGTGGTTCTACAGATGAGGCGGTTGAAATATACGCCCTTGTCAGATTATCGTTCGAGAATTTATGGAGCCTTTTTAAGGAAAAGGAGTAATTGTAAGGGAAAGACTAGAGAGGAGTAATCTTTTTATACGTTATTCACCAGCTGCTTCAGCAGACTTCAGAGCGAGAGAGCAATATTAGATTCACAGAAATTAGCGTTTTGTTAGTCACCATGGAAAGGTTGCATGTTTTGTCGCTGTGCCCTCATTGGTCTTTGAGGAATAAATTTCATGGAAATGCTGTCAAGAATATCATCTGCATGCATACCCATATGCATACAGAGACAGGAAGATGCTTTCGGCTCGTTATCCATTCATTTTCTTTGAAAGGAGGCCTAAAATTACAATGAATTTTAAGTGGAAACGAATAATATGAATCGCTTCAGGAGACCTCGGTTGGGCAATTCGCCCGTCTTCAGGCCCATGCCCAGCCAGCGAGAATAAGGAGGAACTTCCAAGCATTCTTCCATTCACCCTATCGAAGTTAGACGAAAAATCGGTTGCATCTGAATAAGTGGCACATCTGTCGCCAACATTATCTAACCCTTTGTGAGAGGAGGGACTCCAATTAGATCACATCCTGTCCATGCTTCCTCTTCTGTGTTTCCTGAGATTTCCATTCCGAGGAATCACCCACCGAAAGGGCCACTGAAGCGTTCCATCGGCATAGGAAGTCAAGCAGAAGAAAAACTTAAAACAATAATGTCCTTTTTAGTTTCCTATTATGGAATGTAGATTCCCTGAAGTATATCATGAGGCTCAGTCCAGAGGATGTTATCATCAAGCATGCTGTACTGTTACCGAATCCTTCGAATGAGAGGCAATCGAGATAGATGGTTTTTACGCATTCAATTCCTTGGCCAAGAAAGATGTAGGGCGAGAGAAAGGGTAATCCTTGTTGAGCCTTCTCTCTCTTCATCTGGGTATGTCATGTTGAATGATCCACTTGTTCCAACATACATATCATACAATGAGAAGAGCTCCATTGAACTAGTATTTACCAATGTACCCTTTCTTCAACCTAACCTCACGTCCCGCTTCGCGTTTCGTTTCGTCCCCCCTCCTCTTCTCTACGGAACTCATCAACGTTAGGCTTAGGCCTAACCGATGGACTATCTTCGGGTCAGGCCTATCTTTGTTACTAAAAAAATAATCTCGATTTACTGAGGCAAATAGGCCTATAGGAATTAATCCATGAATCTACGGTCTTGTCTACGGTCTACGGGGATGTGTAACGTTAGGTCAATCGCAGGCCCATTCCGTCTCTCATGGCCCTTTTAACGTGTAACGTTAGACCGATCAGAAGGCTATTTCGAGTATCATGAAAATTTTCATTGTGGGTAAAGAACGTTTAGCCTATGTAGAGTTCTTCGAGCCGTCTCCACGAGTTCTGAGAATAAAATGCCACTATGAAGCAAGGAATGCAACATGGACGCCATTCTGTTAATTTACAAATGAAATATCTCCGCATTCCACCAAATCGATCGGCCACTGATAGCCACCATTTCAATCTCAGCTCACGTAATGAACTAAACACAACATTATCTCACACATAAAAAAAGAAGACCCAGACACCGATACAAAGGTGGAATAAGTCCTGACTGACATAACTAAGGCACGATATCTGGCAACACTGGAGGACAGGACCGGAGCCATCAGGCAAAGTCTTAATTAAGGACACCTAATTTTATTTATATATTTTAAATGGCAAAATGCAATGATCTCCACAATCCCGGGGAGATAGAGCTTTAAAATGGCTGGAGCGATTCTGTGTTGAGGGAGGAAGAAGTATACCGAATTTCGTTCCTATTGATGCTCTCAGAGAGGAATACGAGACAGTTGAATTTTGTCCCCTGAGTTCCCCAACAGTTACAACAGGTGTCTGGAAGCAGTGCAAGAGTGGAAGACTTGAAGATGTTGTTTAAGGTGAAAGGAGTCTTTCGATTCTCATACGCGCATCTTACCAGTGACTTAGAACTTGCATTTGAATCTATGTTCATTTATTTCTCTTTGTCACATCAAACTAACCCTTTCTTTCACATCCGCGAGGGTATTACTAATCGTTACTCGGTCCTTAACGGTACTAACGTTATTTCTCGCTGCTGCCAAAAGAAGAGAAAGTTGAGTCATCTACTTCTTCGAGATGTGGCTCAGGAACGTAAATTCGTCCAGAGGGGTCTTGATCACGAATAACGAAACTTCATGAGGAAGTGCCAAATATCATTTATTTTGTAGTTGACAGACTCTACACTTTCTTATGAACGAAACCTTGATGGCTGCATGCCTGCGAAAAATTTTGTCATTGCAGTTCACTCATCTGTCTGACAAATCGCGACCGCATAAAATTAGACGATGAAGTTGGTAAGATTTCGGTCTTCGTTACGACGACATTCCCATTACAATTTACTACCACTCAAGCATGCACTGATTGTGAATATAGTGCATTACGCCGAAGTCCTAACACTGCTATTGAATAATTTCAAGACAAATAGTTCAAGCAAAATCAAAAGACGATGTGCAATATGTGCGGAGAATAAGTGTCAAGGCGGGCTACGTCCCGTTCAGAAATGACCAAATATCAACACAGAGTATGATACCCCAGAAGACCACCCCCCAGGGCTTAGACGGCCTTCACCTTCTACCCCTGATGATTCAAAGTCGATCGATGCCAAGCGATTTCACCCAGAAATACGAGAAGCCCCAATCCGTATCCGACGAGGAGAATAACAAATAATCCGAGAAGATGTTGGATTGCGAATGCTCCATGATCGCGTGGCACGTTGCGTCCGATATCGTCGAAGTTCAGGGTGTTAGGAACTTCCACAGGACCTTTGATACCCAGTCGCCGATCATGGAGCCCTGACAGAAAATCCAGGTAAAGTTCCATGTCGTACCACCATCGCAGCAACCCGGCCCGTTCAAGACGGAGGATAGCGTCGTTGAACTCTTCCTCGTAGGGACAATGCCGTTGGAGGATCATCACCTTCAGCATCATGTTCGCGTTTTGCGCCGATACGTGAAAGGGGATCTGTCCTTGAGCGTTCATGAGGAATCGATTGAATGCGCTGCTGGAAACGGATCTTCCTGTGGCGAGACAGTGTTTTCCTGGTTCTTTGACCATCGCTCTGTATGGAGTCAAGTTCCAGAAAGGATCGCGACCGTCATTAGAATAATATCTTAGCCTGGCTTTCACCTTTGGATTGTTGTCGTAAAGGTTGTCGAAGATGGGGACTCCAACTACATTATAACAGACTAGTTCCCTATCCTCAATGTCCTGCATGCTGTCCACCGGTGGATCGTACCCTGGAACTGCCATGTACGAGGTCAAGGTCTGAGAATAAATGCATGCGAAGATGAGGTATGCAAACAGTATGAGACTTCCTAGGGCGATCTGCAATCCGAAATCATCTGGCTGCCGATTTCTATTCCTCGATTGCAGTACCATGATCTGAAATGCATACCAACTGTCTACGCGGATCTTCCCGAAAACCTGACAGGGCAAGGTGGAAAGCCATCCAAATATGATCATGGTCAGAACCAGGACCAGAACCAGGAGAAGCCAAGTCATAACATTGAATGGCTTGAAGACTCGTTTCCAGGGACTCCCCTCCATGGGCTTCGTAGTGATGAACTTGAGCCTCTCGATCCAATACGGGTTGGAATAGACGATATCCTTGCTGGTCCCGATGGTGGATCCAGAAATGACGAAATCCGCGGTTCTCGCCGCCACCAGGTCGTTCCTAACCGCCTCCACACCGCTCTCAATGAGGAGGAACTCCGAGACGAAGTTGAACTTGCGGGACAGGGCGCGGAGGACCTGTCCATCCAAACCTGAAAGTATTCTCGTTTTTTGAACATGCAACCACTTTTGCTGTTGATGTCAAGGGATTCGAGACATTAATAGGAAGTCTTACCTCTTGTTCTACGCCAGACTCACATCCTCACTGAGCAAACCCATATGGAATGAGCTGTGTTTGTTCCACAATTCTATTTATATATTGACCGTTTCAATTTTTATTGATTTTGTTCAATGGATATCGATTGTCACGATGAAAAATTGACCCATTCGGAAAAACATGATTTGGCCTCTCTATGCGACTTGATTACGTATTCCGTTACATTCTGAGGACCGTGTTCTTCGTGCCATGGGAAATACAAACTTTTCCGGGGTTAGTCTGAAAAAAATTCTACAACTTCAAAAATTAAGACAAATAATTCCAAAATGATTAAAACTAGAGGAATATTCCAGTAAGGAGCGTCAAACTATTAATATGTATTTTAAGCCTTTGGGAACATTTTTAAATAGAAAAATGTACTCTTAAAATAAAATTTAAATGTTCTACTTCTTCACATGACACAAACTATAAGTGTTCGTACTCTAAATACCAGAAATTGAACGTTTTGCACAACCCTCCTCTAATGCAAGTAATTCCACTCCAAATGCTTTGCTCCGATTACTAACAAGCTCACCTTCATATGTCTTGGTGCCGTTGGGGGATACCACGAGATAGCCATAAGGTGCAAGGGTTCTCATGGGTACCAAAACGTGTTTCCCGTAGAATTGACCCCGGAATGACTTCGGTAGTGTCAAAGCCTGGGTTCTCCGCAATGGACGATGCAGGCTCCACGTTTTCAGTTTCTGCAAAGGAAGAAAACATCTAACTTGAATCCATAGAGTAAATTTATTTACCAGTATTTTATTATAATATATATATTTTAATGAGATGAGGAATACCTCGTGGGTGGTGTTACGGTCCTGGCGATTTCTCCCTTTATCAGGCAGTTCGGATGGCTGTTCCATTTGTGATGAAGATCACTGAGTGCCTTCCCACTCATGCAAAGGCAACATTCATTCGTTTCTTTTTAATCTCTTTGGCTTGGAATATGCGGCGTCTCGCATTCAGGCGCTAGTCATGGAAGTCTCCCGTTCCATTATAGAAAGGCACCTACGCCATACTCCAGGTTAATGGACCCTCTCAGGGAAACGATTTTCTGCGAAACGCGCCCCCTCGACTAAAGCGAAACGTCATCGGGAAAAGCGAAAGATCATTTTATTTTCAAGCCGCTTTTGCTCCAATTTTCTAAGAACGGAAACACTTTATAACCACAAATTTACCGTAATTTCGTCGTTGCAGTTAATGAATGCATCTGATGAAGCAGAATTTCCTGTTCGTTCAAAAAATGGACCATGAATTCGTGAGGAAATCATTTTCCATGACGACAACTTTCCCATTACAATTTTTTGTCACACATGCCCGCACTGGTTGTGATCGTTGCGTTTTGCTGAAGAGCTAAGAACACTCAAGTGTAATCTTGAAAAAAAATTTATCTTCCAACACCAGAAGACGATGTGCATCAACGAGATGTCAGGAAGGGACACGTCTGGTTCAGTACTGAGTCCGCCAAAACACCAATCGACACTACGTGTGACACCCCCAAAGGACCCGCGCCGCAGGGCTTAGACGGCCCTTACCTTCGACCCCAGCTGGCTCAAGAACCAATCGATTTCTCCCAAGAGGACGAGAAGGTGTTCGATCGCGAACGGTTCGTGATCCCCTGGTCAGCCTGGAATCCCAGGTATGGGGAAAATAGATCGACTTCAGTGGTGCCCAACCCGTGGCCCGCGGGCAAAAAGTGGTCCTCGAGGTGCTTACTAGTGGCCCGTGAGGCCCTGGCCCACAATAAATGCCCTTAGGTTTCCTTGAAATAGTCACCTACAATACTAGAGACTGGCCCGCGATAGCTGTGGGAGTGAGCTATGTGGCCCCATAGCCGAAAAGGTTGAGCACCACTGACCTACTTCTTGGGTGGTGTTCCCTTATTGACTTTTAGAGGTGTGCGGTGTCAACATGCGGCCGCTAATGGGAATCGCAAAAAATTTTTGGTGCGGGTCAAACTGGAAAGATCCCAAAATTCTTCTGGGAAATAGTCCTGGATGAAAATTAAGTTCTTCCGTTCGAAGGCAAAGAAATCATTCTAAAGGTCTGATTCCCGGTTCAAATCTATAATTTGCGACCGGTTCGCCGGAGTTGAGGGTCTCCTCCGAGGAATTCCCAGGTTTCTTCCGCAGGAACACAGGGAGCGATACTCCAGGACGTTTTCATCAGGATCGTCTCTTCTGCCACCATCTGCAAGTTTTCCCCAGGCAGGTTTTCCTTCCGGGAGCTGCTCGGCCGCAGCTGAGGAGAAACGCCAGCAAGAATAATTTAAAAGATTCTCGGGAATTCCCCGGCCTCCATCCCTCATTCGGAAAATTCATGGGATATTTGTATTCAATTTCCCTCTGCATTTTGCAGTCGATGAAGCGAGTCAGGTCCCCATTTCTTCAGAATTCCGCATGAAACGAATTCGTATTTCCTTTCCTCTTCCCGTTGAAAGCACTCGTTGCAATTCCCGTTTTCCATTCGAAAATGGCGCTTAGAAAACAAATACAAACCCCACTTTCCTTGTCGGCTCTTGCAGCAAACCTCATTCCTTCAGCAAATTTACCTTTGCAAAATTCTGTCCTCGTGCTTTTCAGCATATACATTTTCTACACACGAGAAATCAACAGTACAACCGAAGTGCTCACTTATTTATCGGCATATTTGTCAAATTTTTCTCCCTCATCGTTGCTTTCTCATTGGAAAGAGCAAGCTTCCTTTTATTTTATTTAGCAGTTGCTTCAAAAAAATTCCTGCATTGTCTTTCTTGAATCTACAGTCTGGTGAATCGGATTTTCAAATTTCCTGGATGCAATGTCAGAAGGATCTTCGGTCCATTTTTAAGGAAAGTTATCTCATTCCCTTTTTGCGTGACAGTTGGTGTTTACAGTTTAAATTTCGTAGAAATACAGTCAGGAACATTTCAGCACAAGCACACACAAACTCACGCACCACGAACAGACACAATGGTGCTCTAGAAAGGTGGTCCATTCCTTTTTTTTTTTTTTTAAAGAAGTCCGACTCCTAAAATGAACGACAAGGGTAAACGATTAACCGAAATGCTTTGCGAGGCAGTTCGCCTGTTCCCAGTCGCTTGCCAGTGGAGAAAGGGAGAAACATTAAATCAATTTTAATTTGACGAAGATATTTCAATACCGAATGACGCGAAAGCACTCATCCTCTCGCTTAAGCACAACAAATTGAACGAGGTCTTCAATCTCATGCCAATCGTACTTCACGGTCCCGAAGTACCCTCAAGAGTGCTTCACACATAATGAACTTGGAGCGCCTTGAGGACATAGGAGCCGATTTTACATCCAGGTAACGAGATTTTTTTTTCTCGCTCAATTGCTGCATTAAGCCACATTGAAGCGCAATTCATCCGAATGGGTTTGAAATCGCGCCATGAATCGACGTCGTAGTTGGAAAAGTCGCCTAAACAGTACCGGGAATGATCGGGGAAGTTTTAAAATAAAGGAGTTCATTTTTTTTAAAATGCCGATTACAAAATGCCATTAGACTTAACCTTTAAACCCAATTTCGGGCCAGTAAAATTCCCACTCGTCAGCGGGACGTACGTTTTGAGATTTGGCGAACCGTCGAAGAACCATCCTAGCATTGTCTGTGCAGAAACTGCGTTTTCGGTTGTCGATGAAAGACCTTGCCTGGCTGGCGAAAGTTGGGAATAAATTTCAGGGCTATCTCATATTCATAATTTCAAGACTTTAAACTCTCAGAATCATCCAGGAATAAAGCTGACATGCAGAAGTTAGCGTCCTATCTAGCTGTCGAAATTAGACACAAAAAAAAACTAAAGTAAATATGAATATACCGATCACGAACGTGTTCGACGCTACTCAATGTTGTGTATGTCAGAATAAAAAATTATTTTGAAACTTAATCGTCAGGCCTTACGGCACTTGATACTTTTTCATAAACGGAAGTGCATGGTGACCATACGCCTACATTAATTCAAACGTGGTTGTTAAATCCGTCTGACCCGCGAGAAGTTAAGTCCGCACGAAAATTGCTGAACTTAAGGACCTCTGATGGGACTGGTGGAGGCCATTACTCCGCATAGAACGTGAATGGAGGGGAACTTTCCAAAAAGAAAAATGTATCATATTCACTTCAAACACAAAGATGGAGTAGCCTATATTCCAGAATAGATAATAATTCCTGAGTTGTGCCGTTTCCTTCCATATTCAGTAGTGTTAAATGGCAAAGTCATAATTTATTGAGAATGCCTCACGGTTGAAACACGAGTTCACTTTTCTTCAGTAATTTCTCGACTGAACCTGAAGGAGAATGAGATAAATAAAACTTGATAATAAAAACTTCTATATGCTGTGCCCAAAGCAGGGATGGGCAGTCGAATCATTAAGAANGCACACACAAACTCACGCACCACGAACAGACACAATGGTGCTCTAGAAAGGTGGTCCATTCCTTTTTTTTTTTTTTTAAAGAAGTCCGACTCCTAAAATGAACGACAAGGGTAAACGATTAACCGAAATGCTTTGCGAGGCAGTTCGCCTGTTCCCAGTCGCTTGCCAGTGGAGAAAGGGAGAAACATTAAATCAATTTTAATTTGACGAAGATATTTCAATACCGAATGACGCGAAAGCACTCATCCTCTCGCTTAAGCACAACAAATTGAACGAGGTCTTCAATCTCATGCCAATCGTACTTCACGGTCCCGAAGTACCCTCAAGAGTGCTTCACACATAATGAACTTGGAGCGCCTTGAGGACATAGGAGCCGATTTTACATCCAGGTAACGAGATTTTTTTTTCTCGCTCAATTGCTGCATTAAGCCACATTGAAGCGCAATTCATCCGAATGGGTTTGAAATCGCGCCATGAATCGACGTCGTAGTTGGAAAAGTCGCCTAAACAGTACCGGGAATGATCGGGGAAGTTTTAAAATAAAGGAGTTCATTTTTTTTAAAATGCCGATTACAAAATGCCATTAGACTTAACCTTTAAACCCAATTTCGGGCCAGTAAAATTCCCACTCGTCAGCGGGACGTACGTTTTGAGATTTGGCGAACCGTCGAAGAACCATCCTAGCATTGTCTGTGCAGAAACTGCGTTTTCGGTTGTCGATGAAAGACCTTGCCTGGCTGGCGAAAGTTGGGAATAAATTTCAGGGCTATCTCATATTCATAATTTCAAGACTTTAAACTCTCAGAATCATCCAGGAATAAAGCTGACATGCAGGAGTTAGCGTCCTACCTAGCTGTCGAAATTAGACACACAAAAAACTAAAGTAAATATGAATATACCGATCACGAACGTGTGCGACGCTACTCAATGTTGTGTATGTCAGAATAAAAAATTATTTTGAAAAACTTAATCGTCAGGCCTGACGGCACTTGATACTTTTCATAAACGGAAGTGCATGGTGACCATACGCCTACATTAATTCAAACGTGGTAGTTAAATCCGTCTGACCCGCGAGAAGTTAAGTCCGCACGAAAATTGCTGAACTTAAGGACCTCTGATGGGACTGGTGGAGGCCATTACTCCGCATAGAACATGAATGGAGGGGAACTTTCCAAAAAGAAAAATGTATCATATTCACTTCAAACACAAAGATGGAGTAGCCTATATTCCAGAATAGATAAGAATTCCTGAGTTGTGCCGTTTCCTTCCATATTCAGTAGTGTTAAATGGCAAAGTCATAATTTATTGAGAATGCCTCACGGTTGAAGCACGAGTTCACTTTTCTTCAGTAATTTCTCGACTGAACCTGAAGGAGAATGAGATAAATAAAACTTGATAATAAAAACTTCTATATGCTGTGCCCAAAGCAGGGATGGGCAGTCGAATCATTAAGAAATAATGAGAACGTCAGAGTAAAAGACTTAGCTTTATTCGTTTTCCGAAATTTTTTTTTTCACACAATCACTGCGTAACTAAAATGAGATCTTGGGAGCAAAGTGCACCACACTTTTTTCGTTTTCGCTTAGTATGTTCGCTTATGTATGGAATAACCCTTGCTTTGTCCTAACGTATTACACTTAAAAAAAAAAGAGAGAGAGTCACATGAAGTAAGAGCTGAAAGAGCATTTCAATGGCTAATGCGAAACACCATCAAAAAGCGTGACACATCGAAAAAAATAGAACCTTCAGGAATCTTTTGTTCAGCCCAAATCAGTTTCGGGAAGAAGGATTAAAAAAATTATTTACTATTTATTATTGATTCTTGCTCATAAATAAATTAGTAGTTGAAATTAAACCCTTTGTTGACGAACTCCCAGTCAGGTAAACAAAAGACATGTAGAATAACGCATTCAAAAGTGATCCCTTCCGATTAAGCTCAATGGCAGCCAATAAAAAACGTTCATCACCATATCACAGATAGTAAAAGAAACTGATGTGGCAAAATCAGCAAGGCATACATAATTATGGAAAATAAAAACCTGATTGACTTTGCTAATATATAAAACGAACAGAAAACCCAATTCCCAATTTAGTTTTCTATTTCTTGACTGAGAACAGAACATCACATCATCATCATATGTAAGGAAAAGCACACAAAGCTGGAAATGAAACTAGTACAAACTAGATGTGAATTTCAAATCCTGCTGGCATGAAAAAAAAAACTATTTCATCAGAAGTCCTGAGAAGAAATAGAAAGTGGGGCAGGCTCACCTGTTCATCAAGGAAGTCCAGGAGAAATTCAATGGAGATTTTAATGCCTGCTAAAAAAAAAACTATTTCATCAGAAGTCCTGAGAAGAAATAGAAAGTGGGGCAGGCTCACCTGTTCATCAAGGAAGTCCATGAGAAATTCAATGGAGATTTTAATGCCTGCCTGTTTCAGGTCAGCACAGTGTCTCTATCCAGATGGGCTCATACAGCAGAGCCTTCCTCAGAAGATCTCAGGTCTTCAGAAAATAAACCCTCATCTCCTCCATCAGTTTCCCCATTTCTCATTATGTTTCCTCCTTCACTATGTTTCCCTGTGTGAAGGTACTCAAAAAACAACATGACACTCCTGGAGCTGTATTTCTCCAAGCAACAGGATTGTTCCCTTCATTTCTTGAACTTCAGTCCAAAGCCATCGAAACTGTGGCCCAAAGATGGCTTCACAGTCACAAATTTCAGCATCATGTGTAGTAAAGTTAACATCCTTGAATTCAGGAAAGTGGAGGAGATTTAACATTTGGGAAGAGGGTTGTTCAGTACAAGTTCATTACCTGAACTCTTGCTAGAGGTGTCTGACACTTCTAGTTTGTGATGGATTGTCCCTCTAAATATCTTCATGCTCTTACATCCACATCACCTGAATGATAAGAGCATCCAAGTGAGTCAATATAAATTGAGTGAATGGGTTGATGGCTTTCATTTCCTGTTCATAGATATTCCCTAGCAATGGTTCAATATCATCATTTCCACTTCATTGGCACCACAAAGCTGAACATCTTCAGCTCCACCAGCATTCTCTCCAGCACCCCTTATCTGCAGAAGCTGTGGAAAGAAGATATCTCTTTAAAAATTGATACAGTTTTTGTACCTAGAAAGAGTCAGGAACAAGACCAAGTCACTTCTCCACTCCATTTTACTATTTTTTAGTTAAATTTACAAGTGGTGAAAGGGAGTGCATCCAAACTGCATTCAAATTACCAATGGTAAAAATAACTTCACTCAGTTAGCCCTTCAATATACTGAGTCATCAGGGGCAGGTAAACACCCATGAAGGTCATTCCTCCCTTGTTCACTATTGGTTAATTTGGATTGCTACATCATAGGCTTTCAAAACCAATTTCCATGACAGAGTTAAACCCTCTTAGTGACTCCCACCCTTTCTTTTTAAACTATATTCTCTCCCACTTCCGCTTTTGTCTTCAGCATCAAATTCTGATCCTGCACTCCCTGAAGCATCATTTGAATCCAACACAAAGTCTTCCTCATTGCTACATCCATCTGACAAATCTGAAAACTCTGGCATACTTCCAAAATTGAACTGAAATCTCAATCAAAGTTACTATGAAATTCAGTCCACTATAAGCCCAATATGACAAATTAGGCCATGAATATAAACTCCTGCCACAGCATAGCCTTCTAGTTCTCCCACTAGTCCACAAAATGGTAGTAACCCTCAGAATAAACACAAGCATTCTTCATGCATTGAATTAATATGAGCCACTGCTACAAAACTATTCCCTAGTACAAAAAGCTGACCTCAGGCAAACCACTGAAAGGGTTGAAGCAGCAAATATCCTTCTAAGAAAAAAAAAAACTTAAAATTTGTTACAAACTGATCAGGGCATTTAAAGATCCAAATCAAGACCACTTTGGGCAACCTAGTATTCTGTTTATGTGAGTATATTTTGAGATGTTAACACAGGAATGCAAGAGGACTACTTTACTCTACCTTCACTTCTCGTGTCTAGAAATTCCATAACAGTAAAACTAATGTGCAATTTTGCAATTCAATTTCATGAGATATCAAAAAACTCCATGAGGGTTTTACACACAGCACATTAGAAAGTGCATGATAATATGAGGGTTTTACACAGATGTATGGTTGATGTTCAAGGCCAGAGAGATTAGAAGTAACTGATGCCTGAAGTTCAAGAGTAATACTCAAATGATGACATGGACTTTCCTGTCACAGGCCTCCACTCATATGAGTGGAGGCCTGTGAGAGAATCTGTGTAGCCCTCTCACTAGTCATCAGCTTCTTCTTTTGTCAGAAGTGAGTGAGAGCAAAAAAAGACCTCCTCTGAATCATTTCTTGCAAGACCTAACTCTGGCAGCAACCAACTTTTGACATCAGCCTCTGACAGGCACTTCATGCCAGCATTTATTCCTTCATTTACAACTTCATCATAGCCAATAGCATGAAGCACCTGTTCCTTTTCTTTATTGAGGCAGACAAAAGCAATTGATGTCTCCAGATCTGGTTCCATGCTCACCAAACCTACAGGGTGGTCCAAAAGAAACTTCAGTTATCTTTTAACACCACAAAGCGTAGTTTCTCAATGGTTTGAAAATATTGCAAAAACATCTCTATATAAAACATTTATCTAGTTTTCCACTGATGTCAAAAGATTTCAGATGAAAGTGCTTCAATGCATCGAAATTAGATAAAAAGTAGTAAAAGTAAAACAAACACCAGAGGAAGGCCTATATTAAATCACTACTGGAAACTAATCCATTGTTTTATGGCATTGAGAGCCTGCATCAATCACAATTTCAGGAATTGACACGGTACGAGTCTCCCAGAGCTTCACCTTCTTTTTCTGCCTTCAGCTGCTCAGAACTCTTCCCAAAGAGAGTCCCTTGCATAGTGTCAAAAGAACCCTTCTGGTGCAGATGAGTCCAAATTTTAAACCACAAGTCAGAAGCAGCAGGAGAGAAATGATCACCCATTAGGCATCTGCAATAAAAAGACAGCCTCATCAGGTATGAAGATGAGAAATGCACATAATTGGTGCATTAGGCCTAAATATCTTCAATATAAATGGAAAAAATGAAGGTAGAGAACCACATCATGCATCCAGTACACTGTTTTTTAATTGAATTTTGCATCCACAATAGGAGTGCTTCCATAGATTCTAACTTAGATGAATACATCTATTCCCATACTTACCATGAAGACAATCATACTTACAACCACTACAAGAACTCCAAGACCTATTCACCTCAAGTAAGCCTAAGGCCCATCAATCTAATCCCATAACATAGCATGCTCAAAATGCAACAGATGTGTGCAATCCCACCTTCCTCAGTCCCTTCCCATTCAGATCACTACTGTCACTGCCATCCTGGGAAGTGAAGAACAGTTAAATTCTGCAACTCCTTGTTTTCTTTCCTATTGCAGAATCGACTGAATAAGCACTTTAGTTCTGTTCAGCAATTCCATAACCATACGCATCTTCATATTTATGCCTGAGAATGGAGATATGACGTTGATTCCCAAAGTCCTCTTTTTGTTGTTACCAACTCATAGAGGCCTAGACCAAATTGACCAGTTTTATTACTGACTTCCAGCGTAAGTTGCCAAACTCATTATTTGCTCAATCAGGCACGAGGCGACGGTGATTTTCAATTTACTCGCCATCCAAATACATAAGAAATCCCACACACACGTCTGAAAGCCTGAAAAAAGAGTCAGACTCGGGTGAAATCCACTTACCCTGACTGCAACCGACGGATACACGACCAAGGCGTGTCAACGTTGTTTAGTGGCTTAGGAGGCTTAGGCCTGTTTTGTGGTCTTAGGAGGCCACATCGCCCATGTGGATACCACGTGGCGAGGACTTCCCTTTCCCCCTTCCTGGCTTAACTTTAGAATACGTTCCCACGCCTTTGAGAGAAAATAAGTGTTATCTTCATACATTTATATGTATGGATATATTGGTAATATATTTTTCTTGACGGCGCATGGACGGTGTTTCGCCCAGGAAGCGCTAGAAACTCTTCATATATCACGTGCCTGGCAACCNTGACAGAGTTAAACCCTCTTAGTGACTCCCACCCTTTCTTTTTAAACTATATTCTCTCCCACTTCCGCTTTTGTCTTCAGCATCAAATTCTGATCCTGCACTCCCTGAAGCATCATTTGAATCCAACACAAAGTCTTCCTCATTGCTACATCCATCTGACAAATCTGAAAACTCTGGCATACTTCCAAAATTGAACTGAAATCTCAAAGTTACTATGAAATTCAGTCCACTATAAGCCCAATATGACAAATTAGGCCATGAATATAAACTCCTGCCACAGCATAGCCTTCTAGTTCTCCCACTAGTCCACAAATGGTAGTAACCCTCAGAATAAACACAAGCATTCTTCATGCATTGAATTAATATGAGCCACTGCTACAAAACTATTCCCTAGTACAAAAAGCTGACCTCAGGCAAACCACTGAAAGGGTTGAAGCAGCAAATATCCTTCTAAGAAAAAAAAAAACTTAAAATTTGTTACAAACTGATCAGGGCATTTAAAGATCCAAATCAAGACCACTTTGGGCAACCTAGTATTCTGTTTATGTGAGTATATTTTGAGATGTTAACACAGGAATGCAAGAGGACTACTTTACTCTACCTTCACTTCTCGTGTCTAGAAATTCCATAACAGTAAAACTAATGTGCAATTTTGCAATTCAATTTCATGAGATATCAAAAAACTCCATGAGGGTTTTACACCCAGCACATTAGAAAGTGCATGATAATATGAGGGCTTTACACAGATGTATGGTTGATGTTCAAGGCCAGAGAGATTAGAACTGATGACTGAAGTTAAAGAGTAATACTCAAATGATGACATGGACTTTCCTGTCACAGGCCTCCAATCATATGAGTGGAGGCCTATGAGAGAATCTGTGTAGCCCTCTCACTAGTCATCAGCTTCTTCCTTTGTCAGTGAGTGAGAGCAAAAAAAGACCTCCTCTGAATTATTTCTTGCAAGACCTAACTCTGGCAGCAACCAACTTTTGACATCAGCCTCTGACAGGCACTTCATGCCAGCATTTTTTCCTTCATTTACAACTTCATCATAGCCAATAGCATGAAGCACCTTTTCCTTTTCTTTATTGAGGCAGACAAAAGCAATTGATGTCTCCAGATCTGGTTCCATGCTCACCAAACCTACAGGGTGGTCCAAAAGAAACTTCAGTTATCTTTAACACCACACAGCGTAGTTTCTCAATGGTTTGAAAATATTGCAAAAACATCTCTATATAAAACATTTATCCAGTTTTCCACTGATGTCAAAAGATTTCAGATGAAAGTGCTTCTATGCATCGAAATTAGATAAAAAGTGGTAAAAGTAAAACAAACAAACACCAGAGGAAGGCCTATATTAAATCACTACTGGAAACTAATCCATTGTTTTATGGCATTGAGAGCCTGCATCAATCACAATTTCAGGAATTGACACGGTACGAGTCTCCCAGAGCTTCA